GGGACATGAGCCCTTTCCTTCAGTGATGTTGGCTGAGTAGGAAGGTCAGCTGGGTGCTTTCTCTGCCTCTCTGAGCTAGGCTTTCGCCACTGCATCTGGCTCCTAAGTCTTTATTGGTAAAAATGAATGATTGGGATTGTCTTTCTTAAGAATAACTCGGTTCTGTCCCACCTCCCTGCACACGCTAAACCACACCACTTCTGCTTTCATTAGAAAACAAACAAGCTTCTAAGGGATTAATAATAAAATATAATATGATAAAACAAAAACGAACAGGACAAAAGAAACAGAAGGAAAAGATCCCAAGAAAAAGGCACACAAAGACCCACACGTTCCCATACCTAGGAATTCCATAATTCACTAAACTGGAAGCCATAATATGTAACCAAAGGACCTGAGAGGTAAAAAGAGAGAAAATATATGAAAAAAAATAAGACTAAAACAAAAACAAAAACAAAAAACCCTGACATGACATTGTGAGACAAGGAACCTCCAAAGATGCCATTGAAGTAGTTTTCTGTCTGTTGGCCATCTACTGCTGGGCAGTCTGTCTACCTTAAGAGTATTTGTTTCCCCAGAGAGACTCCCTTGGAGAAAACTAAATTTTCACTTCATTTTTTCATTTAAATTATTCAATTTCATTTCATTTCATGTGGTTAACAGTTAGAGATAGATTCCGGCTTAGGGATGGAGGCAGAGTGGTGTGCAGAGTACTTTCATGTACCCAACCTGATAACACATATCGGTGAAGGCTTTATGTGGGTGCCAGTTCAACTTTATGTTCAATAAGTTGTCTTCAGCAAGAGGGCCTTGCCATCAGTTTGTGGAAAGCAAGTTGCAATCTTGGCAAGACCCAGGTTTTAGTTTTTAGGTTCTCATGAGCCCCCATTGATCAACAATTCAACTAGATGTAACCCATTCTCAGAACCAGAAGCTTGATTTGGTGACAAGAGATGTCAAGCTGAGGCTCTGTCTCTCCCATTTTCTGGCATTTTCATTTAGATTTTCTTCATATGGGTACGTGTTTTATGAAGCTTCTACTGTATTAGGTTTCCTTATGACCCTTCAAATGGCCTTCAATCTTAGGTGTCCCTCCTCAATATTCCCTCCCTTGTCCCTTTACTTCCCCCCACTCCGTTTGATCCTCCTGCTCCAGCCCAGCCTCCTCATTCATCCTTTACTATCTACTCAATTTCCCTTTTCTAGGGAGATCTATCTGTCCCCACTAATCCCTTACTTTATACCTAACCTCTGTGGCTCTAAGAATTACAGCTTGCTTATTATTGACTTAACAGCTAATATCTACATATAAGCAAATACACACCATATTTGTCTTTCTAGGTCTGGGGGATTTTTTTTCTAGTTCCACCCATTAACCCATGAATTCATGATTTCATTCATCTGCTGAGTAACACTCCATTGTGTAAATGTACCATTTCTTTATCCATTCATCTGCTGAAGGATATCTAGGTTGTTTCCAGTTTCTGGATATTATGAATAAAGCAGCAATGAACATCGTTCATTGTCTCTGTAGTAGAATCAAGCATCCTTTGGGTATATAGCTGGACGTTGAGCATTTCTGAGCCATTTGATTTTCCTCTTTTGAAAATTCTGTTTAGATCTGTACCCATTTTTAACTGGGTTATTTGTTTCCTTGATATTTAATTTCTTGAGTTCATATATATTAAATATTAGTCCTCTATCAGTTGTGCAGTTGGTAAAAAAAAAAAATATACCTCATTCTGTAGGCTGCTGCTTTGTCTGAATGACAGTGTCCTTTGCAATGCAGCAGCTTTTCAGTTCCACAAGGCCCCATGTGTTTGTGTTGATCGTAGTGCCAGTGCCAACAGGGCTCTGTTCAGAAAGCCTTTTTCTGTGACAGTGACTTTAAGGCTATTGTTCCCCACTTTCCCTTTTATCAGGTTCAGTGTATCTTGCATTATGTTGAGGTCCTTGATCCATTTGGAGTTGAATTTTGTGTAGGGGGATAAGTATGGATCTATTTGCATTTTTCTACATGCCACCACCAACTTGCTCAGCACCATTTTCTGAAGATGCTGTCTTTCCTCTCAGGGTGTATTCCTGGCTTCTTTATGAATCAATAGGTACATGGATTTATGTCTAGGCCTCCATGTCTCTTTTTGTGTCAATCCCATGGTGTTTTAATCACTGTAGCTCTGTAGGACAACTTGAGGTTGGGGATGGTGATACCTCCTGCAGTTCTTTGGTTATTGAGGGTTTCCTCAGCTATTCTGCTTTTTGTTTGTGTATTTGTTTGTTTTGGTGTTCCATATCTTGAAAATTGTCCTTTCAAAATCTGTGAAGAATTGTGTTGGAATTTTGATGGGGGTTGTACTGAGTCTGTTGATTGCTTTTGGTACGATGGCAATTTTTCTATATCAGTCCTACTGATCCATTTTAATAAAGCCTCCTACATTTTAAATTTACTTGCATACACATATACTTGTTTCCTTTCAGTGCTGGGCATTGAACCCAAGGTTCTTTGCATGGTAGGCAAGAACCCTATCATTGAGCTACACACTAGCCCTTTATATTTGTTCTTTCCAGCTTTATAGAATGTTTGTTTTGTTTTTCTCAGCAAAGTCCTTTTAGGTCATTTAATTTTCAATTTTTTTTCAAAATTTAAAAATTATTTTTAATAGTATATGTGCACGTGTGTGTGTGTGTGCTGGGGAGGGGTGGCTATACACACGTGTGTTTGCACTCTTGGAGGCAAGAGGAATTAGATCCCCTCGGAACTAGTTGTAGGCAGTTGTCAGTCATGTGAATGGGTGCTGTGATCCGAACTCAAGTCCTCTGCAGGAACAGTACACATTCCTAAGAGCTTTTGCACCATCTCTGCAGCCCTAATTTTCAAAATTTATTTAATTAACATTTTTAAGCCTTTTCTATTTTAACTATTTTCTTCCTCAGGTATAATTCTAGTTAGCCTCATCATTATTCTCTCTGATTTTCTTCTTTTGAAAACTATTTGATGATTTGTTTCTTGATCTTATAATTTTCTGAAATTTATTTTTTATGTTCTTTTTTTTTTTTTTTTTTATCTTTGGTTTATAGCCAGAAGAAAGCACAGTTACAAAGATAGGCCCCAAGTTTCTGCTTCTGAGTTGTTTCGAGATGGAGACAGGAATAAAATAAACGGTTATGAAAACCTAGCCTTTTTTTTTTTTCCACCAGTTTGAAGGAATAAAATGGACGAGGTTTACAAAAGTAGGAAAATCCAGGTGCGAAAAATGTAGAAAAGTTCTTTTTTCTATCACTACCATGTGATGAAGGCAAGAGCAGTGTGGCATCAAGAGTGTACCCAGAGATTCTGGAGTGAGTACTTGCAATTTGCTTTCTAGATGGTCCATTTTTTAATATTTTTACTTAATGGTGGGATTGAGGACACTTGCTATTGAGAAGGGATGGACTTATATTTCAAAGAAACTCATTCCAGAACCTGTGTAGAGAACCAATTAAAAAAAAAAAAAAAACACGAAAGAAAAAAAGCTCAGTGAGGATCAATTGACCCTGCAGGTCAATCACCATCAATCGACAAAGCAAAGGGGAAAAGTCTGTTGAGAGGGAAGCTGGAGGTTGAGGACATTTGCCCTGTACACTGTAATGTTCTCAGCAGTGTGGTGAAGAGAAGGGCTTTCTGTGAAGAGGTGGTAGTGTATCCCCCTTCAAAGAAAAAGCAATCAGCTGGTCAGTTAAAATGGCATATAGTTAATATAGTCCTTCTGAGCTCCAGAGGAGTCCTGTCATAGTTTGTCTTCAGTTTCATTTAGAACACTTTTGGACTTATATTTCAGAGAAACATGCTACTCTAAAAAGGCTGAAGCTGACAGAAAAAGAAACAAAATAGTAATAATTTGTAAAGGCACGAGACAAGCACTGAATATTATCATTTGGAGATCATTGCTTCATCATGAAGAATTCATGATCATAATTTACTTCCTTATGTCTATTTCTTGGGTGAATAGAGCCCATGCTGAACGTACTAGGGTCTGTCCCCAACTTCCAGGTTCTCAATCTGCAATGGAAACTAGGATGTGCATGTTCAAGGATTCTGTGTGGTGAGGGGTTAGTGATACAACTCACCTACTAGAGTGCTTGCTCAGCATGCAAGAAGCTCTGAGTTCAGGTGCCCAGGACCTGCTACAAAACCACACACGGGCAAAAGGGCCAGAAGTTGAAGATTACCTTCCATTACATGATGAGTTTGAGGCTAACCTGGACTCCATGAAAACGAAATGAAATAATGAATGTGTACAAGTGTTAGATGTATCTTTCTTCTCCAATGTCCATATGTTCATTGAATTACTGAATGTACGACCTGGACCCACAAGTTTGTTTTTTTTTTAAATTTTATTTTATAGTTTTTAAAGATTGGAGTGAGAGAGTCTTTCGGGGGCTAACTGGTTTTGTTAATAATAATAATAATAATAATAATAATAATAATAATAATAGTAATTAGACCTCAGGCCATGCAGATGGCTCAGAGGGTAAAGGCACAAACCTGACAATTTGGTTCAATCTCCGGGACCAAAAAAAATGAAAGGAGAGAACTGATTCCCTCAAGTTGTCTTCTGACCTCCACACTCACTAACATTGTGGCACGGCCCTCCAATCAATCAATCATCAGTTAACCAACCATTCAATCAATGTAACAAAATAAAAAAATAACAAGTTCACATGTGAAATGAAATACCAATAAAGTTCGTTAGTTAAAACAGAGTATTGCTCATGTGTTGGCTTATGTTTCCTTCAAGCCATCCGAAGACTGAGGCAGGCGATTTAGAGATAAGCTTTAGCTGCTCTGAGTGCCACGAATACACAGTAAACTACAAATCCCTGCAGCACTTGAGAAGTCACGTGCCCGAAGAACGCGGAAGTCTTGTTCGTATACCCAATCCTCTCTTGAGGCTTGTGTAGCGGCGGCAGGCCAGCCAATCCCGAAGCAGCGTGCCCTGCGGAGTCCCGCCTCCGCGTTTGCGCTGACGGGTCGCGGGCGGATACGCGGCTCGGGCGGACACGCGGCTTTCGGTGCCTTCCCGGTTTCCCTGCTCCCGGCCTCGGGTCTTCCCCTCCGCCATGGCTCCCAAAGGCGGCTCCAAGCAGCAGTCCGAGGAGGACCTGCTCCTCCAGGATTTCAGCCGCAACCTGTCGGCCAAGTCGTCGGCGCTGTTCTTCGGGAACGCGTTCATCGTGTCCGCCATCCCCATCTGTGAGCTGCGGGCGGGTGGCCGCGGGGACGTGGCGGGCGCGGCGGGGAGGCGGACGGCCTAGGGTCGGGGGCGGCGTCCGCGGAAGTCACCCGTGGCGTGCCGGGCGCGGGTTCTGGCCCTGATTCTCCTGTCGGTCCACGCGTGTCGCCACCTGCCCTCCCCCTCACTACTTGTTGAGCCAGAGGAGAGACCCACGGATGTATCCTTCGCCGATTGCAGCGCGACCCGCGGCGAGCCCCCCTTCCCCCCTGAGCATCCTTTTGATTTGCAGAATGACAAGCAGTTAGGCTGGGGCCAGAGGTCAGCGGCGAGCGACCAGCCCCGTTTAGGATTTTTATAACCGCGAGAGAGGAAGGACTTCTCGTTTGATTGGGGAACTGCCGAGCAGGCGCGGGCCACCGCGGTTTTCCAGCCCAGGTTTCCTAATTTCTTGTCTCCTGGCCCACACTGTCGCAGCGTTGCAGTCCTGTCACAGCTTTTTGAACGTGTGTTCTTATCCAGGCCATGTCCAAACACAGTGTGCAGGGAATGTGGTGTGGAGCCCCCTGGTTCGATGGCCGGATAAAGCATTTTGATTTCAGAGAAGAGCCACGTCAGCAAGTTAGCCAATGTTTGGGGACAGCATTTGATTTTAAATGGACTATATTTTAGCACAGTAGTATCCCATGAATGAAATTTCAACTTTTGTGACCCACCCCCAACCTGTTTGTTTTCAAGTTAGAAGATGAAAAAATCTGTACATTAGCAATACCTCCCTTCCCCCCACCTCACTTTGTTAACTGGGACTAACCCTGTTTATTGGGTGTCTCACCGCTAGTGGAGTTCCTCAGATGCTGAGTGAGGTTGACTAATTCTCCATTATCTGGTGTAGCTATAACTGATCTGGCAGGCTTGTGTAATGGGGTAGTAATGTTTTCTTCCCTTTTGTGTTCCCCCTTCCCTTTGTCTTAACTCAGGGTTGTACTGGAGAATATGGCATATGGATCTCATCCAGTCTGCTCTTCTCTACAGTGTGATGACGTTAGTAAGCACTTACTTGGTAGCGTTTGCCTATAAGAACGTAAAATTTGTCCTCAAGCACAAGTAAGTACCCTAACCCCACTCCCCGCCCCAACTTCAACCACCCCACTCTCATATTTTATGGTAGGATGTCTTCTTAAAGATGACTTATATCCATAAGCATTAGTTTGAAGTGTGTATATAGTTTGTGAAGAAGACTAATTGATGTCCGGGGCATTGATAAACCTTTGAGCCATCTGACACTTCAGCAGAGATAGGTGTTGAGGGTGGAAGTTGAACATTTAATCCCTAGTTTTAAATTGCCATTTTGATCAGAAAAACAAATTTACAAAATAAATTAATGTTTCTGAAACTCAGTGGAGTTCTTTCTAGAAATTGTACTGGGCTGTCCATTTACTAATTTTGGAAGCAATAAAAAACAAAAAACCAAAAACCTCTGACATTTTCAATGCCAGTTACATTTTTTTTAATCCTATAAGTGAATTGACTAAAGAAGATAATGATATTTCTTAAACTTCAAGATCACGTATATTGTAAGATGTTATTTTAATAGCTTTTGGAGAAGAAAACCCAAGTTTTACTGCAGTAAATTTTTATGTTGTAAGCACTTGTGTACTTTGCTTTCCTAAAGATAAAACAGGAGAGTGTAGAACTAGGAATGATTGTAATATTTATTTGCTTATTTGAGTTAGGGCAGTTGTAACCCAGGCTTGTCTTATGACTAGTGCTAGGGTTATAGGCATGAACAATCACACTGGTTATAATTTGTTATTTCATAGTGCTGTGGTCCTTTTGCAGAGTTTGAATTAATATTTAATTAGAAAACATGTCCTCTAGAGGTGCTTTTATATACACTTTGGGGTAGTAGGATATTCTTTTGTGAATTCAGTAGGGTCTTTTAGGTTTTTTTTGTTTTTGTTTTTTTTTTTTTATTCAAAGTATTTTTTTTTAATGATTTACTTTTAATTTTTGAAGTAAGTGTGTGTGTGTGGGGGGGTTGTGTATGTGTGTGTTTGTCTGAGGGGGCCAGAAAAGAGCGTTAGGTCCCCTAACGCTATTCCCCTATAAGCTGGAATTACACATAGTTCTGAGTCACCTGCTGTGGGTGTTGGAACTGAACTCAGGTCCTCTGCAAGAGCAGTATATGCTCTTAAGGATTGAGCCATCTCTCCAGCTGCTGAAGTAATTCTTTAAAGGCAGTAGGAATTCATGCTGTGTATTTAACATTTTTTCATTTCCCATAGTATCCACACTTCATTAGAAATTGTTTCTGTTTGTACAATTAAATTGGACAATTTAATTACATTAAATTGTTTAATGTAACAGCCTCTACCTGATCTCTGGAAACAAAACATAGGGCATACTCTGACATGCACTATGTAAAGCTGTTTGATGAAGCACTATGTAAAGCTTTTTATTTCTTGCATCATTTGTATTTTCTGGGATAAAAGCATATATACACATGATGGGCTGGAGAGGTGGCCTGATGGTTAGATAAGCCTGCTGGCTGTTCTTTCAATTCTTAGCACCCACATGGTGGCTTACAGCTGTCTGTAATTCTAGTTGTAGGGGATTTGATGCCTTCTTCTGGCCTCTGTGGGCACCAGGCAGGCATGTGGTACACAGATACTTGTGCAGGCAACATCCATAATACAATAATAATAAGTAATAATAATGGATTTTTTTTTAAAGATTACATATCTTAACTAAAAGTCTGGGAAGTGTTGTATTCCTCTTCATCTGTCATTTTTATTTTGTTAACTATCTTAACACATCATGCTTTTTTTTATTTTAATACAGTACCATCAAAAGTTCTTTCAGGTTTTTAGAATCAAATTCTACTTCCTTCCTGTGAGTTTAGCCTAACCCTTCAGAATTAGATGTACCCTTGTCATCCTTTGTGTGTGTCTCATGTCCACTTCCATTCAGGATTCCCCCCTGGCCTTGCTTTCTATTCATACATGTCTGTTATTTCAAGACCCAGAAAACCTTTATGGAGAATTCTTACCTGACTTTGATCATTCCTCTGTTTTGTTGTCTTTATAAGGCCCTTGCAGTTGACAAGGAATTCATGGTATATTACAATTTCAGTTAAAGAGTTTTATTTAAAAGATGGGCCAGCAGTTGCCTCAACACCCTTTGCTGTGATTCTGGCTTTGCAAAGGCTTGGGCTTCATGATTGTAGTTCTGCTAGACCAGCAGACTAATCAGGTCATCTCTGTCATCTTTCTGCTTCCCAGCCTTTTTGCCACCTGCTATTTCAAGATTCAGCTTATGGTTCTCTATTCTTCTGGACTCTGTTCTCATAGGACATATGAGATATCGTAGGACATGTGTAGATATATACGGAATGAGAATTCATCAGAATAGAACCTTCAGTGACTGTCCCTTTAGCTCTCTTACTTGTTTTGAACTTAATTGTTTATGAACTTCATTGGCACCGAATTGTTCTTTTTATCTGATTCCTACTTTAGGCTTCTTGAGGACAGCTGCTATGTCTTTTGCTTTATATCTCTTAGAATAGTTAATGATACATTTTAGTTTAGTAAAATTTCAGTGGCTTGCCAGTTTAGTAGGCTCTTAAGTAGAATTTTCTTTTAGCCATAGTTTTGAGGTAGTAAGTATTGTTTCTGACATAGAAACTGTAGATTTAGGGCTCTGAGATAGCTCAGTGGGTAAAAGAACTTGCCGTGTAAACCCAGTGACCCGAGTTTACTTCCCAGAACCCACAATGGAAAGAGAGAACCAAGTCCCAAAAGTTGTCCCGTGGCTCCACACATTCCCCCTGCCCCAGACAGGTCCAGAGTCAACAAGTGCTGATTCCAGGGTCTGCTCTGCACTCTTAGTGTGTTGTCTTGGGCGATATATTTTTTCTGGATACTTTTGACTCTAGAGCTATAAGGTAGGGATTTTAACAGTAATTCAGAAGGGAGTGCTGAAGTAGGATCACATGTGTAACATGTTAAGCCATCAAGCGTCGCCTCTAGCATGTAAGAACATTGAAGGTTGCAGTGAAAACTTTTAGGATTTATTTTTTTTAAAAGGTGTCATGATTTAAATAGTGTTTGTAATAACATTTCGTTTTGGGAAATTAAATATATGTTTTTTTCCCCTGAAGGGTTCTGATGTACTGATGGGGAAAAAAAGGAATAAAAATACAGTTTCCATGCATTATTTCAGTTGATACTGTAACCCCTTGAGTTGGGTGTCTTGTTGGAAACTGACTGAGATACATTTTCCAGCAGACTTCACGAAACTGACACTGCAGAGGGCTTCTCTTTGGAGTGATTGGTGGGTTGAGTCTGTGCTTGGCAGATAATAGGATTCTGGTCCTGCAAGAGAAGTTGGTTATCTGGTTTAGGATTGTTCAGGTAGATTTATCCTGCACAGAGTTCACAGACGAGCTTGCATTCTTTGGAGACTTATGTTATTTTGAAGACTTTTTTTTTTTTTTTTTTTTATGTAAGTCTCCTGGACCTGAGACTATGCCTGTGTGTGTTTTGATGTTCAGCTAAGAACATTTTGTTGTAAACCATGCCCATCTCTTTTTGGAGGCTTTATATGGAAAAGGGGCCTGGAGTTAAATTTAGGAAATAGTTTCTTGTTTGCTAGAGAGGCTGAGAGAAGAGTCTCTTCCTAAAGAACCTGGCTTCTTAGAAATGAAAGAAACACTGGAAAGGGTGGTTTTTACATAATAATGTCACACGAGCTTTATCTTTAGAATTATAATGTACCCTGCAGGGTCCTAACTTTATCTCCCTTGGGTAATTCCTTCCCCTTCTCCACCTATGCTCCTCCCCCAGTTCACTGATAGGGGAGATCTTCCTCCCCTCAATGTCAGTTTTAACTTTATCCTTGAAGGAAAGCTAGAGATGGAAGCATGGGGAAAATCAGCCAAAGCCCGTGCTTACCTTGCACTTAGACTGTAGATTCTACAGGCTCTTGTGCTTGAATCAAGCAGAAAATGCACACCCCAAATGAATGACCTTGGGTATTCTCTTGAGTCCATTCTAATTTGTCCAGTTTTCCTTTATACTGATCAGAACCAAATACAGTCTGGTAATGTGAATCTGAGGACTTGAACACAGTAAACAGGCTTCTTCCATTTCTGTGTTTATCCTGTTGGGATGCTATTTTCAATGTTTTTATAGTAGGAGTGCCTTGGGGCATGTTATTATTACCCTTTTCTGTAGCGCTAACTGTAGCTTGTACTTGTGAAAAATATCTGTTGAAAAAACTGTTGAATATCAGTTTTAAATTGACCTTTTTTACTAATAACCCTACCTGATAAAACTCACTTGTAGATATTTTTTCTTGGTTTGATCTGTGTGCTCTTTCTGAGACAAGGTGTCATGCAGCTGAGGCTGGCTTGTGTGTCCACTTCTCAAGCGCTGGGACTACAGGCGTTTACTTTCATGGCCAGCTGATGAGTTTGCTTTTCACATACTTCCTCTCCTCTAAGATCTACTAATTCTCATCTGAGTTCTTGAGTTCTTGAGCTAAGCATTTCTGTGTGACTCAGTGTTAACTAAAAGTATTATGGTCAGCCTCTGACCATGCTCTGTTATTTCTTAAATGAAATTGTTCTTTGGATTGGAGTTAAAAGCATAGCTTTAAGATATTGTATTTGTTATTTTTCTTCATGTATTAAATCAAGTTGTCTATCATGTAGTATACTGGTAATTGAAATCACATCATTTACAAACATCAGCTTGTGAACTTAAGGAAAATGAAATTAGTTAAAGCGACTCCTAAATAAATTGTGCTAATAGCATTTGACTTTTATACCCATATTAAGTACCTCAGCCTTGGAAAATGTTTCCTTTCAAGCAGAAATAAAATCCCCAAACTAAGAAACCACACCTTCAGAGTTTTCTAAATTTCTCTTAGGTTTGTATGGTGTAATAAACTTAGAAATTTCTGTTCAGTTGACTTTCTTTAAATGTAAAGTGTCATTCAATTGCCAATATAAAATATGAGTACAGAGTGTTTTTGTGAATCTGATTTTCATCTCTAGCGCATGTGGAAACCTTTTTCTTTCTGTGTTTTCTTTCAGAGTAGCACAGAAGAGGGAGGATGCTGTTTCCAAAGAAGTGACTCGAAAACTTTCTGAAGCTGATAATAGAAAGATGTCTCGGAAGGAGAAAGATGAAAGGTTTGGTGTGTGTGTGTGTGTGTGTGTGTGTGTGTGTGTGTGTGTGTGTGTGTGTGTATGTATGTGTACATAGGTATGTGCATTAGAGGCCAGAAGACATATCAGATATTTCTTCTATCACTCTCCACTGTGGTCTTTTGAGAAACCTGGAACAGCCCTATGGTCAGCAACTCCTAGTGATCCTCCTGAATCTTTCTCAGGTGGGATACAGGGATTACATGCCCACTTCTACATGGATGTTGGGTTCCTAATCTGTTTCTTTAACTGCCCCTTGGCTCTTATTAAAGTGGTAGTTATAAACCTCGTTACAAAATAGGTTTTTGAATTCTCATTAAAGACGGTAGGTGTTGGAATTGGGTAAGTGGTAGCAATGGTGATAGTAATGGCTGATTTTTTTTTTTTTTAATTTTTGTGACCACTAGAGTGTTTTCTTTGAGCTATGTACAGTTGATTTGTTCCAAAGAGTGAGGTGTACATCCACATAACTCCTGCATTTACAGCTCAGGAATCGTTAACTGAAGAGGGGAGAGAAAGGTTGTAAGAACCAGAGCAACAGGAAGTTTTCTGTGAGATTTGGTCTAAAAATGTCAGAGGAGCTACACCTATGAAATCCCGTTAGCATGGGTGCCTAATGGTGGCCTGAACAAGGAAGATACCAGTGGACAATCTGATGGGGAAGGGGAATGTTCATGAGGCTTCAACCCTGACAAAGAACGACAGGCAACTAAAGAAAGCCGAGAGTGGGAGAAATAGTCTCTGGGGAAGAGCACAGTAGTTGGTTGTCCAGTACCAAATGGTCAGCCCTGAAAACACACACATAGAGGTATCATACAGACTGAGCAGGTTATAATTATATAATTAGGAATACACATGTTACGTATCATCACCCCCACGTAAAGGAATAGGTTGGGAATTTGAAAAGGAACAAAGGGGAATTCATGGGAGGGGCTGCAGAAAGGAAGGGGGCAAGTGATGCAAATATAATTTCAGGCACAGAGTGAGATAGTAGGTGCTATTGTTAACTTCATTTTATCCAAGGAAAATAAGGCTCAAACTTGTTGCCTTGACTGTTGAACGCAGATCAGTGCTAATACAGGCTGTCTGACTTGGAAGCTTGTACCAGAAGCTTGTTGTACTGGAATTTAGGGCGCAAGAGAACTTCCTTATGTGCCCTTGTATGTCAGTTAGCCCTTTCAAATCTGTAGGAGTATGGGGGTATTATATTAACATTTTTAGTAGTTGTGATCTCAGTTTCCCCAGGGTTGTCCATGGTGTATATGAATACTGGATATACTATCTGGGGAAAGAAAGAACTGGCTTTGTCCTCTGTTGCCTGAGTCTGTGGTGGTATATTTGTTAAACTCTTTTTTTAAAAAAACATGTTTTTTCTGGCCAGCTGCTCTTGGAAGACTTCCCAAACAATCCATCAGTGTAAACTACCTAAGCCTTTAATTTGTCAAGTAAATTGGTGCATAAAAGTTACCAGATGGGCTGGGTGTGTTGGGGGCAGCGCACCCCTTTAATCCCGGAGGCAGGTGAATCTCTTGAGTTCTAGGCCAGCCTTGTCTCCTGAGTGCATTCCAGTACAGCCAGCACTACACAGAGAAACCTGGTTTCAAAAGACCCACCCTGGCCCCCCTCCCCCCAAAAAAAGAAAGAAACATAAGGAGTTACCAGATGGTTTAATAGTCATCAGCATGGTTTGTTTTCATGGATCTTACGCTTTAGCAGCATACTTTATGGGATGGGACTTTTACTACATTTTCCTGCAGAAAGACTTTGTGTGGGCCTTGTAAAGTAATAGAATTTTATAAGACCTGAAAATATTTAAAGGGAGGAAAAGGTGTTTAAATGAAGACCTTGGAATTAGCTCTAGCATTTGAGCACTGCACCTCTTTTTAGTTCCCAAGTGTTGAAGAAGCATATGAGGTCATGCTGTTTTCACTCTGATGGAGAGCAGCATGCAAGCCCTGGAGAAAAGTCTTCCTGGCACTGGCCCTTGGAATGATTTTATCAAGTGGATCCTAATTTAAGGAACACCAAGTAATTTAATAATCAATGCTTCTGTAGTGGTTTGGAAAGATACCAAACTTTAAAGAAATGATTATCTTCTGTGGATACTTTATAAAACTAAGGACATGATATTAAAGTCAATGAAGGTGATGAAGGCCTTTTGTAGGGAGCAGTAATGAGCTGCAGAGCTCTTTGGTTGCATTATTTTGAGTATGAATAAAAGAGAATCTATAACCCTAAACCTGCTTTTGTTGAATTGTGGAAACAATATTTGTTAAATTGGCGTACATAGCATAGTTAACCAAATTTCAGAGTACTTGGCATAGCTATCAAGGTTTTGGAGATGTATTGGAAATGGCAAATAGGTAGGTCTCACCTGCCCACTGCAGACTTGCCTAGTCTGCTCTGGTTTTTATGTGGAATCACAGCTCAGAATCTTTGCAGTGCAGTGTTCAGGTAGTCATTGCCAGCCAGTTTAGCGGGAACTGGGAGGAAAACTTCTTTGTTATTTGCTGACTTAGCTATTTCAGAGGTGTCAGGTGAATGTGTAAAGTGCAGATTATAAAATTCCTTTTGTTACCAGTAAAAATTAGTACTGTTAGTATTTCTCTCTCAAAGTTTTTTCCAGGTCTAGACTCTTGATTAGTCTGGATAACAGATCAGAGACTCATTAAGATTTGGTAAATTGCTGCCAGAGGATAAGTTGATTCCAAGAGATTTGATGTAAGGAAAGGTGCAACAGCTTGTATTTCTCTCCAGGTTCCATTTATAACTTTAGGCATGCACATATCATGCCACTAGGGTGGAAGTAAGCGATGGCAAGTTAGAGGTTGAGCTTGTGTTCCGAAGTCTGACTGTTACTACTCCTTGGTGCCCTGAAGCTCTTTGTCAGTTACCTGGTTGTGACCATTGTTTGGTCTACCCTTTTTCTTTTTTTAACAAGCTGTTCCTAAAGAATGATTGCTTGGTAAATAGTCTCCCAAGCTAGTGAAGCTTTGGGAGAATCATTGGTAATGAGTACGTTTGGAGGACATTTGGAGTTCTTTTATTACCTCAAAATAACCAGTGTGTGGTGGACCAGAAATGTTTGGAAGGCATTTGGACGGTCCTGGCTTATGTACCCTAATGTAACATGGGAGCTAGGGGAGCATCGTGGATTGAATCATCAGACTTTCATCTCACTTGTTTTGGAGGTGATTTTGTTTCAGGTCATGGCAAGAAGAGAGTTAGGGAGACCTGCTCAGATGTCACTGGGATGATTTAATCAGCAGAATAAAAGCATGCCATAGCTCACTGGCTCTTATGCCAGAGTTAAAAATAGCTGTGTTGATTCTGAATGTTTTTAACATTCAGGTGCATTGGCCCCGTGCAGTGTGCTGTGCCTGATTTCCGTGGAGCAGGGTGAGAGTGGTGAAATGTATTTCCTTCAGTGTAGACTTATTTACTTATCTTTGTAATCAGAATAGTGCTGACTGCACTTTAATGTAGCATTCTTCCTGTTTCCCAAAGTAGAGTAAATCTATTAGTACATAGTGTTTATAAAATCAAGGAAATAGACTATATATGTACAAGAGGCTACAGATTTCTTATGGTAAAGATCGGCTGATAATATATTTTAGCTCCTATAGCCAAGCTTCTTGAATTTGGACTAGAGTAGAAGTGTCAATTACTAGCCTCTGGGGTGGTGTTTGGGAGGCTTTTGTATCATGTGACTTAGAGTGGAATATCTTGCTGGGAGGACAAAGCATCTAGAGTTGCAGGTTTTAATTTTTTTGATGATTATTCCATAATGAAGCAACCTTTTATTTTTTTAATCCAATATGATTGTACATATATACAGATGTTTCTGGAAACAGTAATTACTGTATTGTATGTGGTGGATTCTTAATTTTTTTTCTGTTGCATTAAAAAAGAAAAGCAAGTCTGAACTCCTTCAGTTAGTTTATGTAGGCATCTGATCGATTTATTTCATTGCATACTCCACCAGTGGGTTACAATCTACTCTTTAAAGAATGATTTTGCAAAGTTAATTAGCCAAGTGGAGTAAAATCTGTGTTAATCAGAAGCATTCTGAAATATTCTTTTGGCTTGTTTGGAGGGATAAAAGGCATATAGATATGTGAGCAATTTAAACAGATTTAAAAGTAAGAATTTTATGGAAATTAAAAACACCTTCCTAAAGATCATGTAAATTTCATATCCAAATTAGTAAAGATAGCTGAAGATAGATCTGGTGAGATTGTGACTGTTTGTGTTCTTGGCATTATCTCTTGTAAGGTGTGAAACTAAAGACTTGATCTATGCCTCCAGAGAAGCTGACCAGAGAACCCTATATCATTCTAACCTCTGAGAGCAAGTTTTAAGTGAGACCAAGGATATTAGCCTTTGGATCTTTGATTCGACATCATCTATAAATGTGTTAAGTCACATCCACAGCAGCCCTGGGGCAGGTGTGGCTGGGCCATGGGCCTCAGGTTGGATACTCCCTTTCTGGGACTCTTAAGCAAAGTCACCTATTTTAGGTGCTTACAAAATCAAGCCGGTTGTAATTAATGTCAGTCTCTTCTACTGTAGCTTGGCTCTTTGGGAAAATGGTCAGATACCCAGCAACTGTTATTTAGCATCAACAAGGAAAACAGAATTCAGTGGCAGAAAGGAGATAATTTGCTCTAAATTTAATACTGCAAATGCATTCTCATCCTTGAATACTTGTTACCAGGATGTCTTGTAACAAGTGGGAACCATTTGGTATATAGTTTTTGGTCATATTTATAAACTTGTGTAACTTGTATCTCTAGAATCTTGTGGAAGAAGAATGAAGTTGCTGATTATGAAGCCACAACATTCTCCATCTTCTATAACAACACTCTGTTCCTGGTTTTGGTCATTGTCGCTTCCTTCTTTATACTGAAGAACTTCAACCCCACAGTGTATCCTTTAGAAAGTTTTCAGAAGACTATAAACAGTAGTTCGTTTTATCTTTAAGCTGTCTGGTATGTTAGTGGAATCAAAACTCCCCAGAGTCAGTTAGATATAGCACAGACTGTAGGCTGGTGTCTGTGGACTTAGAGCTTAGACGGTTCTGCCTTGACTCAGTGTTTTTTAAGTTTATAAATTGTAGTTTTATGGTAAATGACAAGTGTTACAAAGCAGTCTTACATTGTACGTGTGACTTTGTCTACCTACCTTTCTACAAGGAGTCAAAGTCAGAGTAATGTGCTGTCTTCACTGGTTCCTTTATGCTCGCTTATTTGCTGGCCTTGGGGTTAGTTGGATGGCCTGGCCAGGGTAGTTATAAATGCATAGTTTATAGTATTTTCAAGATGCTTTTAAATTGAACTTTGTAATTTTCTATTAAAGGTGTTAACCCAGGAAAATGCAGCCAGAGTTTTAACAATCAGAGGTTATGGTATAATAAAACATCAGATACCTTCTAACTCACATCTTTTGGGAATACTGGTGTGCCTTGCTAGAGTGGCCCCAACATGGCTTCTTCAAAGAGTCTGTAAACAGCCATGAACTTTCAGAACCTCCTTGCCTTATAGGCCAACTATAGTAGAACTCTGATTGACATGAGGATTTTCTCCCTTTACTGTTTTGTGTTTGTGTCTGTGTGTTCTTTGACCAGCTCTTCTCATGAGGGTTAAATGGAACTAAGATGTGTTCTGTGTGATTAGTTCTAAGTTTGTCTCAAGTGTCTTCAGTATTCAGACACATTGCTTGTGGGTATTTTTTCATGTTTTATAGCCTCCCATGTTACAAATTGTGTTTACAGACAGTGCAGCTACATGTGCATATTTGTGTCAATAAGGAAAAGCTCTTTTATTGTTGAAAATAATTTGGAGGGTTTCACTTTTTCCTTAACATTAAATTCTTGCAGGAACTACATTTTGTCCATAAGTGCTTCATCTGGACTCATCGCCCTCCTGTCTACAGGCTCCAAGTAGACCGTGGAGCTTGGCCCCTGCCTTTGTATCTAGGGGTGGCCTGTGGTATATGGAAAAGTATCAGGGTGGCCAAGTTGGAAGACACATAAGATATTTTTATAGTCTGGAGTTTGAGAGTTTAAAAATGCAGTAGAATGTAATTCAGGGTTTGTTTATTGGCTCTCTTTGACAGATTGTTGAAATTAAATGAATTGAAAGGGAAACTCAAGAGTACCAGGACATTTATTAAAAGACAAGAAGTCTTGTGATGTGCTCTAATCATAAGAGGAGAAAATAACTTGTTTCCTACATCTGTCAGAGGTCATGGTGACCTGGCCTGAGCTGTTATTATTTATAATAGGAGGAAGAAGTTAATAACTGGTTCTCTGTGTTCCAAGCACAATATTATAACTTTGTGAACTGTAAATCTTAGAGTGACTCCTTTTCCCAAGTGATTAAACAGAAGCCTCATTTTTTTTTTAACAAGTGTCCAGATTTGTAATTTGTAATAACTCAAAGTTAAAACATGGCCTTTCCATTTTGAGGGAAAGAAACTTTAAGGTTTTTTTTTTTTTTTTTTTTTTTTTAAAGGAAAGGCAGCCAAGGTAGTAACCTAAAAATAGTTGCCAGGCCTATGAGTGTTGGCCTGTGCGGCTGAAGCACACACTGTTCAGCTGTATGGCTTTGGCCCTGGGCGGCCAGGGAGGTCAGCTTGACCCTGCCATGTTGGTTTGATGTGTGAAGTCACTGGAATCATTGTTTTCTGTGACCAGGCTCTCCACACCACAAGTAGAATATTAAGTGAGAGAGCACTTCTTTCCTGATTATTGACACATGAGAGACCAAAAGAATTTTTGTGAACTCAGCCCTGGAGTTCTGTGAAGTCTCCAAGGAATTTACAGTGGCTTAAGAGGGTTGTCAGCATTTTTCTATGAGGACTTTAATAAATTTGGCCCTTTTTGCCCAGTGTTCCCTTCAGTTGTAAAAATACTGATCACATTGGTCTTTTGGGGTCTACCTAAGAGCATCCTCTCATTGGGTTGTCATCCCCCCTTTCTCCGCAGTATGTGCAGGTTCTGTGTGTGCTATGACTTCCCAGTTAGGAAAATTTATAGTTAGGATCACTGATTCCATATTCCTATTTCACCATACTGTGGAACTTTTATAAACAGCACCTCAAAGGGGAATGTTGCTAATATTTAGTTTCTACTTGTAAACTTAAGAGGAACATATGATTCTATTCTGACTATAAAGATGTGTTCACGGGAGTAGAGCTTCTTCTGTGCTGGTAGATGGTTCAGTGGTCTCCAGTAAGAACATAGGGAAGACAGGAGGAGTTTGTACAGTGACCTTACTACTTACTGTTGCAACTGAGAGTCAGTTGAGAATTCAGTTCTGTCCTGCAGTGCATTGGTGTCTGAGTGCTGTTGCCACGTAATGAGGAATGAATACAGAAATGAGAAGAGATTCAATGCAAGCACATTGTATAACACGTGAGGTTGGGTGTTTTGTTGTTTTGCTCGTAATAGCTTATGTACCAGTGCATTTACCTAATAAAATGGTAATTTGACACACCATCACATTGTCTGTGAACTGGCCACTAGGTGGCGGTGCCTGTGTAGATGGGGAGAAAGTCGCCTCCATTATTGCAGAGTATGGTCAGAAGCTCAAGATTAGTGAAGTAGGGATGCCAGCCTCAAGTTCTTAATTTTAATTTTAATTAGTAACCAAAAACTTAGATTATGTAGCTTTCTTCTGTCTTGAATGTTTCCTACAGCCGTTTGATTTTAATTCTGTGGTTGTCCTCTAACTGTGCTACCAGATACAGTTCTGTGCATGAGGTCGTATAGCCAGGCCATCAGCTCCCTTTGAGGAGTTAATGTATCAGTCCTTTACACTTGGAAGTGTGACCCTGTTCTCTAACCTCTCCACCATAGAAATGTTGCAGATAGAATTACCGAGTGCTGAGTAAGACACAGACAGTAAATTCCTGTGCAGAGTTTTTACCTTAAAAGGACCCCGTACACCACGCTAGTAAAATAGGACATTCATTCATTTTTTTTTCTATATGTGTGATATGTAGAATCTTAGTGTTAAGCATTTTTTTTCTTGATTTACTCACTTATCGCTTAATAGAAGTCTTAGGTTTAAATTTACAACTTGTCCTGTTTGGTATATTAAAGCATAATTTGAATCAAGAATTGAAGTTAATTGGAATAATGGAAGTTGAAATTTATACTCATTATATAAGCATTCTTAAGAAAAGTCTTGTTTTTAACAAGTATGATTAAACTTTGTTTTTAAAAATGTGTTTTTTTTTCTGAAATTCTTTATGTAAACCATATAAATATGTTTATTACATGCTTTGCATTAACCCTCTTTCCTACACATGTAAGTGCGCCATTGGTCACTGGTCAGATGTTTGTGGGCCACTGACAGGCTAGCACAGTTAAAGGGAGCAGCAGCAGGTCCCTACCATAGTGCCTGCTGTGTGTTTGCTGTGCTCTCCTGCTCATGCAGTTCTTCCTACCAGGCAGTGTGGTTTCTGGGGACACTAGGGAGGGATTTGTATGTATGTGTGCACGTACATGCGTATATGCAGAATACCAGCATACCTCTCGGGAACGGTACAGATTTATTTCCCATCTCTTATTTTAGTGCCTTCAAGTGCATTCGTGTATGTGAGTGTGCGTGAGATAGCTGAAAGTGGAGTCAGGGTAGCAGGGGATGTGTACATGAAGATCAGAGGATCGTCTTGTGAATGGGTGTCTCCTTCAACTCAAAGCATACTTCTAAAACTAAGCCGTATAAAGCAAAACAAACACAAATGTCTAAAGGAGCGATGGACTAGAGTACAAGGTATGTGCCTTGTAGCCCTGGCTCTGTAATTCACTAGCAGTGTGTTTGGGCAAGTTTCTTGATCTGTCCTGACTTGAGTTCCTTGTTATACAAATAGGTGGCTTTTCAGGTTAGTTTCATGGAAGCAGTGCTATTGCTGTGTGCTTGAATGATATTTGACAGTCTATGAAGTAGACTGAAGTTCCTGAAGTAGGAATCCAGGCACAATTTGTAGTTTGTATTTGTCATGCTTGAGACTTCAGAGTAGCTACAACTGCTTCCCATGACTCTGGCAGTATGTTCTCTGCCAAGGAGTTCTGAAAAGAAAATTAGGACATGGAACCTTTCTTTTATAAGGGTGAAAATGAAATGTGTTATTTGATTTAGGTATGTGTAAAGTGGCTCGTCCCACAGATAACCAGTATTGCTTATATTTCTTTTTGAGTTTGCAGGTTCTTTCAAGTGGGCTTGAGAAGCTTCAAATTTATTGTGAAGTTTTCCAAAACCCATTGGAAAGGAAGAAAGAGTTTGCAAAATATTTTTTGGAGTTGTCTTGTAAGTACAGTCAGGCTGGCCACAAACTTAGATCCCCCTGCTTCAGTTTCTCAAGTGCTATGATTACAGGTGTGTGCCAGCACTCAAAGCTTACAATGCAAATCTCAGTCTTTTTTTCTTTTTCTTTGGTGGGGATGGTGGTGATTGAGAGGGGCTGTATTGTAGCTCAAACTGAACTCTTGATCCTGTATATTCTTCTGGCTCAGAACTGAGAGTATGGGTACCACCTCTCCTTGCTTCAGTCTGTTTTGGCTGCTGTGACTTCTGTTAAGCAATTAATGCAATACAGCTGTTGTTGTAATTTATTTAGGTGATTATTGTTTATTTCATGGTGACACGTTATTTTTATTTTATAGATGAGAAAATGTATATATCTTAAGCCTTATAATGATAGACCCCAAGATCTATTATGGGATTTCACAGATGCCTTTATTACTCTTAAGCAAATGAATTGATTTTTTTTTTTTTTAGACAGCACTTCACTCATTTATACATACAGTAGTTCAGAGGATTAAATTTACAGTGAATAGCTGGAAAGTTAATTTATCTCCATCATTAGTCAGATACTCATTGGTGAAACTTTTCAATTGCCTACTAGGCTGTAGGTAGTAACAATCATATTTGTTGATATCTTTCACTGATAGTTTAAGATTTAGAACTTAACCATGTTATACATATCTGAAAATGATTTTAAGTTCATATATTTCTTGTGTAAATCTGAAAGTGATGGAGAACTTGCTAACTAGGTAAAGTAGAATTTTTTTTTCCATCTACAGATGGACAGATAGAAAATGACCCCACCTTTACAGAAAAGAAAGAAAAAAAAAACACCTCGTGTTTTCTCCTTATTTACAGATATAACACACAGTATAGTCTGAGAATTTTTCTCAAGTGGGATACAGTGAGGGGGAGTAGCTTAGAGGCAGGGCTGGGTGCATCTCAAGATTCTGAGCAAAAGTTAAGCTCGTTTATTGCATGCAAAGAGCTTTCATGCATATATTGTAGTGTGTGATACAGTTAGAATAAGGAGCTTTTTTAAAAGTTTGCTTTTTCTTTGGGCAAGTTAATTCATCCAGCATATGCTGAGGAATGAGACTTTTTTTCTTTCATGTTGCCTAGGATTTGTTTTCATGTTAATAACTTCTCGGAAAATACCAAGCATTATATTACATTGTCCCAGTGGTAAACTGAGTATTTGCCTTTCCAGGTATTTATAGGTTTAATTACAAAACTGAGCATGGGTATAATTCTAAAGCTCAGATATTTAAAATTGCAGAATTGTGCCTATAAGCAATTGAAAGTATAGGCAGGTTTTAATAGAATGTAAAAAAAAAAAAAAAAAAATGAATGCTTAACATTTTCTTTAAAGCTGTTTCCATAGCATTGTAACCCATTTATAAATTAGCCATTAATGTATCTAGTAAAGATAGGGGTATTCATACCTTTATGTGAATGGACACATTAGAATCCTGAGAGGCACTCCAGCTAGATGGTACAGGGCCAAGCAACAACAAAGAACTTCAAAGATAGTAAAAGCAAATACCTAGAAATTTTTGTGTTGAATGACAGGTGACATAAAACTTGTTAGTATGAATATGAAATGTGAAAAAAGAAAAGTAAATTAGTTCTGTTTGTTCTCCCGAGCAAGACCAAAGAGCGAGGATATCCTATTTCCTATGTAGTTCACATACTATATCTTGTGAATTTTGCTCTTTTGAAAAAAAATATATATGTACAGCCTTCTTCTGAAGATAGTAGATTCCCCTACCCCAGTATTCTTTTCATTGCAGAAACATGAGGTACACAGCAATGCAAGGATAGGGAACCAGTCCAAGATAAGAAAATAGAATGGATTTTCTGGGTTATGAATTTTCAGATGTGTTCAGAACGCAGGGTGCACAGTGGTTGCAACAGCAGAAACCTCAGAGAATCCTGGGACACTAGAGGTTGAGCAGCAAGCTGCTAAGTGATTGGAAAGAGTGGCTAGTAAGGTCGTTCTGCACTGCCTACCCACATGATTTTACCCATGCAGCTTCTGTGGCTCATGCATTGCCTTATGATCTATAGTCCTTTTTGCTGTAGGGCTTGTTGCGCAGTATGTTGTCAATCTCATTTACCACATGTGATGTCATCTTAGGGAGGACCTGAGGAGAAGCACAAAGGATGCTGTTAGTGTTGAGCATTTGTCCTGTGTATTCAACATTAAGCAGGCATTTATACTTGGCTATATGTTTGCCAGCCATAGCTGAATGAAGGTCCTCCCACCCCCCATTCCTCACACTGGACAAGCTTCAAGTCAGGGATTGTGTTTGTTGACTAAAGAAATGAAGACATAAGTGAAATCTCAGCCATATAGAGTAGCTCTATCTAGTGGAAATTCAGTGTCAGTAATTAATTTTTCTAGCAGTTAAGCTAGCTGTCTTTAAAATAGTATAAATTACTATATTTTTATTACATTGTAGCCTGCTAACACTTAATATCTGTATCATTTTATTGTGAAATTAGTGGAGAAAAATAAGGTACTTTTGGGGTAGTGCTTAGTCTTTCAAATCCTAGGAACATTATATACTTCAGTGTATGCACACACACACACACATTTGGACAAAGAGCCTCATGTTGTTAGAAGCTGCAGCAGTGATAGCATTGATCTAGACTGGGAATAAACTTTGCAGTGGTTCCTTAGAACTGGTAAAAGCCTCCCAGATAGAACAGCATGTACATGAACAGTGAAATGGGGTAATACCTTGGACAGACTAATGGAGATGGTAGGGATAAAGGAAAAGAAGCTGGAAGGTGTAGGGACATGAGTGGTGCTTTCTAAGAATTAGGATTTCATTCTGTAGGTTGTGGCAATCCTCTGAGACAGTGGTTCTCAACCTTCCTAGTACTGCAGCCCTTTAACACAGTTCCTCATGTTGTGACCCCAACCATAAAGTTATTTTTGTTGCTGCTTCATAACTGTAAATCTTGCTACTGTTACAAATCATAATGTAAATATTCAATATGCAGGAGATCTGATACGAGACTCCTTTGGGGTCATAACCCCAGGTTGAGAACTGCTCTGAGGACTTGATCCAAAGTTGAAGGGTAAGTTGGAGGCAGCCGGAAGGTATCATGTTAAAACATCACAGCCTAAGTCAGGGACTGTAAAGGACTTCACAAGGCGAGTGACAGTGGAGTGGGAAAGGGGAAGTCTGGAGAGTGAGTGTGAACTAGGATGAGTTGTGGGGGCCTTTGTGTGAAACTGACTGACATACAGGCAGCTGTTCGTTCAGGACCAGCGTTTATTACAAGAAGTAAACCAAGGGTACACATTATACCATGAGACAAGGGACAAAGACCAGCTTTCTCTCTGGAATAGTCTGATCCTGTGTAGAGATGGGTGAGATGCAATTAGGATGACCAGTTCTGAGGTTTGGGCCCCACCCTTTGGTATAGTCCTGCCGGCCGAGGTGACCTCGTTTCTACCCCAGGGCTGTACTTAGCAGCCTGAGGGTTTGGTGCAATAGTGAGGCTCCTCTGTCTGGAAAACTTGCTGTTCTGGTTATCGTTTTTCCTACCTGAAGCTAAAGGATGAGTTTTGTTTCTCACCAGCCCAGGAGAGTCTTAGGTTCTAAATAGCTAAAGTTACGTGGGGACTTAATGAGACTGGAGTTTGGAAACTGGCTTTGGCGGGAGAAAAATCCAGTGGGCTAGCCATGTGAGATGACAGACCTTCACTATGTCAAAATACCTGTCAGCGAAAAACAGTGGAAACAAAAGTATTTGAGTAAATAAGAAAACGTGTGTAGTGTTAAAAGACCAGTGTATTTTAAAGGAGCAATACTTTTAGAATTTCACGTGAAATCACTGTAAAAACAGGCATGCCTGGACACACGTGCACACATGTATACAGGAATGTGTTCACCCCTATGCCACAGGCATATTTCATTGCTCATACTTTTACAATCCTCTTGAACTTTCCTTATGGTGGCCAGCATGCCACATTTTCTGTGCACATTTTTACCACGTCCATCACATCATCTCTTCTGTTCCATGCTGGTGCCTGGGGTGAAGTTTAGGAAGCCGTTGTTCTAGCAATGACTCTGTCTAGGTAACACCCCTTTCCTTTGCATTTTGAGAGTCGAAGTCTCAACTTGCTTTTGGCCAGAGCTTTGGTAGGGAGGAAAAGCTTTGGGAATTAAAGTATCCTTTTCCTCACCACCTAGTTGGGTCCTGCAGCTCTGGCAACTCAGGTCCAGAGCTGCTGCTTCATGCCTGCCCCTGGCAGTCACGTGGCTTCCCCTGAGATTGGGGATCATAGTGCTAGCGTGATGAGAATCCTGCATTTCTCTTCCTGCCAAGATTTTTATCTGTTCTTTCCGAATCAGCAGATCCATCCAGTCCATTTCATTGCGGAGGCGATGACCACACCTGCATTCTGCTTTCCTTGGGGCAGCCTCAGGGATCTTTAACATTCAGCTAGAAGCATAGCTGCCCTCCTAATCCTGTAAAGGACTCCTTACCAGTAAGGTAAATGATAGAGTCTGGCATAAACATGCTCCCTCCCAATTTAGGTCCTCTGCACTGCTCTTTCTTGTTCCTGGATACACTCCTGGGTTTCTCTCATGCTGTGGGAAGGGGAGTAAACATCCTACAGGGAGGGGGCTTTTGCAAAGATATTATGTCAATTGCCATGTCTCAATTGCTCTCTAGTACAATATTTTGTTTAACCCTTTAATAATCTGAAATCTTGTACATTTTTGTCAGTGTCTTAGTAGAGAAGATTAGGAGTATCTTGTGTCCTGTGGTGTTATCAGTACCTGGTACATAGTGAGCTCTCAGAGACTAGCTTTAGAGCATAGATATCTTAATTCTTGCTTTCCTAGTACGCTAGCCATTTAAGGACAGCATCTTGCTCTTACACATCACAGTAACCCAACTGTCTAGCTTGGTGCTGGGTTCAGTAAGTACTTCATAAATGAGTGGAACTGAAATTACTGGATTGAACTTAAATTCTGGGTACAAGCTGAGCCCCTACCCCGTCATTACAGTGTAAGCCTTATCCTTTCCGAGCACATAACTGATATGAGAGAATGTGGTGTCGTTCGTTAGAGGGGACATTCCCGGGGAAGGGTCAGACCCCACAGAATCCAGGAGGAACTCCAGCTGGGTAGGGTTTAGAAACAGGTGGAGAGGATTGCCCCACTGCCTGGCTCTGAGAAAGGTGCCTGGGCAGGCAGTCTGTACCAGCTTTCTCCCCGGTGTATTCTGCTGTTTCTTCTTTTCTTTGAGAAAAAAAGGAAAAAAGGGTTTCTCTGTGTAGCCCCAGATGTCATAAAACTCAATCTGTAGGCCAGGTTGGCCTTCAATTCACAGAGATTCAACTGCCTCTCCCTCCCGAGTGCTGGCTTTAAAGGGGTGCACCACCACTCTGGTCTGTTTCCAAAAGGGGTTTTTTAAATACTCATGTATCCACCGTCGTGTGTCTGATTTTGGGAAAGGCTTGTTTTAGGAATGGATGGATAGAAGAGAAGCAGTGACAGCCTGTTCCCAGTGGGCAAGAGGGAAACACCTTTGCTTGTTTCAGCAGGCTCTGGCCAAGCAGTGGGAGGCTCATCCTAGGACTCAGAACTGGGAGGGGCAGGCTCAGGACAGATGTTCAGTGGTGAAGAAAGGTGATTCAACAGACCGCTTGCCCAGGCCCTTTCTTTAGATGCCTCTGAGCATCTGCCCCTCCTCCCTCCTGCTTCCACATAGTCCCCAGGTGCTGCTGCAACCTCAATCCAGCACCTGGCCTTCTGGCCATCTCTTGGGGACAAGGCCTTGGTGTAGAATGGGCCTCCTGGATCTTCTTTCAGGGAGTTAGATCCTGAAAATTTCAAACAGGAATTTATTCTCCAGTTATTTTTGGAGTAATAACCACATAGTAGGACATGGGTCAGTGGAGATGAACGCCTTAGTCTCTGACCTTCAGGCTTACAGTCCAGCAGAAGGGACAGGCAAGTTATCAAACATTTACCCTGAGTGGCCGTCAGAGGATGCTGTTAGATGGTTGATAAGGAGGCGCTGGGCATAGTATATTGGCAATTTATGGAAAGCACAAATTCATATGTATGATGTGTATATTGTCCTGTAACTTACATCTCAAGCAGGCAGTTAAGCATGCTTTTATGATTAGACCTACACTGCTCCACACAGAATGAACCACTGGAACTTGAGAAACCTTTATGTTAAATAAGCCAAGGATAGCCCAGGATTCATGCATTATGTACATGTGCTGTTGCTTCTTAGTTTTGTGTCCCCTGCTACCGTGTTCGGACTGCTTGGAGACACACTGCAACATTCCCTGGAGTTTGCCAGAAGGGGCTGCAGTACTTGCCTGAATGGCACCAAGGTTTTCAATGAGTTGCTCAGGAGTGGATGATCCCAGGAGCACAGAACTCACACCCTCATTTCTCAGGCACCATGCTGTAAAGAGCAAAGCACTGGTCAGGATTATTGATGCACTAATAAGCATCAGCTGCAGTTATGTTTGTGGAGGATGGAGGATACACTGTTGTCTGGGATTAAAATCTGGAGCAGCACCCCCCTAGTTCAGAAATTTAATGCAATGCATGCATTTAAATAGGTTTGTGGCTTTCTAGCTTTTGTATTTTGCTCCAACTACCAGAGTATTGTTCCTGGAAATATTCATACTGCTCACCAACTAACAATGTCTGGAGGCTTGTTTCTGCCAGGCTCCCTTTCTGTCTTATACAAGCTATCACTTTTCTTCATCTGCCAACCTTTTGCATTGATTAGCTCAAAAGCCAACTCTCAAAGCCCCAATTCTTCTGCTTTAGAAGATCCCATCAAAACTGAACCCATGTTTTCTGCTTGGGAGTTGTGTAGTATATTGGAGAGAATCATAGAATCTCATGGTCTGGTACCTCATACATCCCTCTCCTTTGCCATCTTGCCTTAGCCAGCTTCACAAACCTCTCTTTGGCCCTTGATCATCATCTTTTCCTCAGTGACATAAGGGGTATTTTTTTGAGACCGGGTCTCATGTAACTAGGTCAACTTGCTATGTAGCAAGTATGCCCTTGAACTGATTTTCTTTCCTTTACCTTGTGAGTGCTTGAAGTACAGACATGGGCAACCATGTTGGCAGGGTCTCTACCTTAAAGCCTTGCATTCACTCTCAGCAGATGACCTTCCCTTGAACTTTATATGAGGTATTAAATACTAGGTAGATATTCCTCTTTTTTTTTTTTTTTTTTAACCTACTTAGTACTCATAATGATACTGTCCAGTTGCAGAAGATGGATGCTGTTTTGGCTAAACTGCCCTAGATCCACCCCCCCCCCCAATTTGGATTAATTAAACATTCATTCTTCTGTGCCCTAAAAGTTTTGTTTCTTATTTTTCTTTGTCAGCAAAGAATTCTCAATTCTTTTTCACTCAGAAATAGCCTCTGACTCCATACTTACCTAGACACTTCTCCAACTTCTGGAAGTTCTGAAATGCCATTTTAGGCAGCTATACTCCCCTCAGTATAGTCTAGGGCCCTTCTTACCGTGTTCTGGAAGCCAAGGCCCCCCAGGGGCCTCCTGGTTACAGTGAAGATCTGAGCATGGATGTGCCTGTTTGCACCGGACCTTCCTGAACTAAGCATCTGACCCGGCCTTGCTTCGCCAGTCTCATTTGGCTCAGTGTCGGTGTCTTTGCCTCTCAGTCTAGACATCTGGGATCTATAGGGCTTGTATAAATTCCAGGTCTCGTTGGTCCTGTTTTTCTAATCTACTGGTTCTTATACTTTAGCATGCAATAGAGAGTTACCTGGCGGGTTTATGAAGCATCCTTTCTTGGCCTCACATTTTTTTTTTTTTTTAAGTTGGAAGATCTTGTCTTGAGATATGTACTTCTCTGTACTTATTTGATAACTTTTTTTTTTTTTCTTGTCCAACCTGGCCTTGAACATTATATATGGCTCAAGGATGACCTTGATCTTCTAATACTGCTTCTGCCTCCTGAGTCCTGGGATTAGAGGCTTGTGCTACCATCCCAGGTTTAGGTGGTGCTGAGGCTTAAACTCAGGGCTTCATGAATGTTAGCCAAGTACTCTACATTTCCAGCCTGGGAACTAAAACTATCTTTTTAAGGGGAGTGGGGAGAGCCTTACTGAAGTAGAAATTACAGATCAAAAAGAATTTAATGTCTTTAAGTGTACTTTAACTACCTTTAAAAAAAGTTTGCCGGCCCTCAGCGATTTTAGTATGTAACCATTACCATTTTAAATTCAGTTTAGTAGAACATTCCCATCACTATGATAAAATCCCTTAAGACAGGCATTAATTGATACCTACTTCAGCCCTAGGCAATCCTTGCTATTTGTTTTTAGATCTGTTTTCTTGAACATTTCATTTAAATAGAATAAAGTGTCATCTTTTGTATTTTATTTCTTTCCCTTTTTTTTGCATGCACATGATTTTTAGTTTCTTGTGTGTTGTGGCAGTGTATCATTTCATTGCTGCACATCATTTTTACCAGGTAGACATGAGGCTCACTGCTCTGGGTCATCTTTCCTCTGTTGTCCCTGTCCTCATTCAGCCCTCAGGAACTCTCTAGAATCACTGGTTTTTCTACTTTTTTGCTTGGGCTGCCCCTCCCTTAATCCAGAGCCCTTATTCCTAGGGCTTTTATAACGTCGCTTCCTGACTTTAGCTTGTGCCTGACCAGATGGCTTTCCTTTAAGATGGCATGCACTTCTCACCCTGGCAAATCTTAAATTTGATTCTGCCGCTCTAGCTTCAAGGCTCCCTGCCTTGACTTTCACGCTTCAGGAACACTGGTTTGTTAATTTCCCTATCTCTAAACATCATAACCAATTTTTCCTCCGGGAACCCTTTGCCTGGAATGCTCTTTTGCTCTCATTTTTTTGTTGCCCCTTTAGCATTTTGTCCTTTGAGGTTCCCAATGCCTCTGCTTTCTTCGTAAGGCCTACCCTGAACTTGAGGCTGGCTAGTGTGCCTTATACAGTATAAACCCCTACTCACATCTGTTAGTTTTCCCAAGTTACTCATGGGGCTGTGTGATCGGCCATCTAGAATTGGACGCTCAGCAACCTACTTCCTACTTGGCCCATGGGACACAGCGATTAAATGTTTGCTGGGGAAACGTAGGCACGGAAGATTGTTTCATCGCTGGCACATCTTCCTCTTACTCAAGGCCCTGCTGTCTGTCAGCTGATCTTCAAAGCTGTTACTAGGGCTGGGGCTCACCGAATCGTTCCAGGTGGTCAGAGTCCGCACCCCACCCCTTTCCTTTGGCTCTATAACATTCTGCTTTGCACTTCGAACTCCTTTTGGAGCCAGTGGGAGTTCAGGGCAAATCAGGGCTCCGAGCAGTTGCTGTAGCAGCAACCGATTCCTCCAGTGCCTACTGGGCTAAGAGAACGCACTTTGCAGAGCTGGCCAGTCCATGGCTAGCATCTGCAACTGACTCTTCATAGTTGGCCATTAACTGGGCATCACTAGCAAGCACATCCCTGGTGCCTGTTAGCTGTCAGCAAGCTATGAGTGCTGGCTCCCGAGCAGGTCTGTGACTGGGGAGCAGCGTGCAGATTCAAGCAGTCTGTTCCTGCTGTGAGCTTCCCTGCCCCAAGTCATACTCTGTCCTTGGAGATCAAAGGCAGTGAGGCTGGAAATCATTCCCTTTGGGGTCTGAGAACTCTGTGGATAAAAACGGCTTGTTTGTAAAGAACGAAGAAAAGACGACAGGCAAGGGAAACATTCAGGGCAGTGGTTCTCAACTTTGCTAATGCCACAACCCTTTAAAGTTCTTCATGTGCTGACCCCAACCATAAAATTGTTTCCATTGCTGCTTCATAACTGTAACTTTGCTAATGTTATGAATCATAATGTAAGTATCTGATATATAGGCTATGATATGTGACCCCTGTGAAAGAATCGTTTGGCCTCAAAGGGGTCAGGTTGAGAATCACTGATCTAGGGCATAGAAAAAGGAAAAGGGAGTGGGGGGGGGGAACGGCTTGTATCAACTTAAGCCAAGCTCTGTACAAAGGGTCCATCCTGAATATTTAACATCCAGTGAAAGTCTGAATTTTTAAAAGGTTTCCTTTCCAGGAAGATACTGTTCTTCCATTTCTTCCAGAGTGTAATGTAATCATCTTGGTATTTGTGGGCAGCTGGTTTCACCCTTCCCCCAGTGTAGGAGCACTCAACTCCATTCCATAAGATGGCATGGCATTTGCATACACCTGCTCCTGCATTCTTTAAACCGTCTCTATGTGACAGTAAACCAATATAATGTGAATTGTTGGTTGACTTTGTGGACATAAAGGGCCAGGTCTACTCAATTCATGTTACTACCTAAAATCTTATTTACAGTAGTTCAATATGTTTTCCTTGTGTATGTTAAGAAAGCCTCAAGCCCAGTCTGTCTAGTTCTGTGTAAGTATGTCCTTTGCCAATATCACCATCCTCAGCACTTATTGAATGTCTAGTCTTTACATAAACAATTTTGCTTTGGTCCAAGCTTATAAGCCATAGATTGTATCCATTACAGATGAGAGGATCAGGCCAGGCAACTTGGTATGGTCAGACAGTCATTTTGCTGTTCTTGCTGAAGCTGCAGGTACTGCATTAAACATGTTCTTTGATTCTTTTAAAGAAAGTATTAAGATAATGCTCATAAATTCCCTCCAGCTTATGATGAACCACCTCTTACTTTCATCTTCACTTACTTAGTGTGATTGTGTTCACAAGTGCATACAAGCAGTCAGAGAACAAGCCTAGGAGTCCTTTCTACTCTATGGCTTCTGGAGATCAGGTTGTTAGCCTTGGTACTAAGGGCCCTTACCCGACCAGCCACCTCTCCCACCTTCATGTACAGTTTTCTAGTACTGTTGGCTATACTTCTTTTAACATATAAACTCCAGCAGAGCCAGGCTACCAACAAAAATTCTGCTCCTTATTTGCACAGGCCTTACCATGGGCTGTTCTTCTCCCTGGGTTGCTGTATCTATTTGCTGTTTCTTGTTAGGATTTCCCCCACTGGAATTACACCTATTTTATTCCTTTCTCAATCAACATGGCAATTCTAGTAATCATCCAGTTGACATTTGTAAGATAGGGGCCTCCTTAGAGCACGCACCTTCCAGGATTGTTTCTAGTCTAAGAAGGTAAGACAGTGAATGTGAAGTGTGTATAGCACAGCCTGTCACCCCTGCCCCTAACCCCGGCTTTTAATGCTGCTGTATCCAGTGTGGTGGTCGCTAACGGTGTGTGAATACTGAACCCACGTTCAGGCTGATGCTTCAGATGTAAAATACACACTGTTTTAAAAACAGTCTGAAAAAGTATTTAAAGAACCTTAGTAATTTTTTTATATTATATATTGAAATGATAATTTTGGGGTAGATTGTGTTAATTAAAATGGATTAGTAAAATATTTTCACCTTTCTGTTTTGCTTTGAAGATATTTTTAAAGTTTTGATTTATGTTCATATGTGTGTTTGTTTGTGTGAATGTCTGACATATGGCATAGGTCTCTGTGGAGGCCAGAAGGGGTTGTTGGGTCCCCAGGAGCTGAAGTTACAGAGGGTTGTAAGTCGCTTGACATGAGCGTTGGGAATTAAACTCTGGTCCTCTGGAAGAACAGCAAACACTCTTAACCACTGAGGTATCTCTCCAGAGTAAAAGCTTCTGTTTTACTTTCTTAATATGGCCATTGGAAAATTTGAAAGTAGTTGTTCCCAATATGTTATAATGGACAGTGCCAGTGCATGTGGTTTTTGGGTGGCCATGACCTTTCACGGACTGCACAGCATGAGAAGAACAATTTTCATGGCTGTTGAAAAGTTTCCAGGGGAAGCTGCCCTGCAGTATCAACTTTCAATGTGGCAAGAGCCAAGGGCCTCTTTGTAGCCCTGTTTCTCAACCTCTCACTAACCTTGTCTTTTTTTTTTTTTTTTTTTTTAAATCTTTTATTTATTTTTTATTAATTACACTTTATTCATTTTGTATCCCCCCATAAGCCCCTCCCTCCTCCCCTGCCAATCCCACCCTCCCTCCCCTTTCTGCATGCATGCCACTCCCCAAGTCCACTGATAGGGGAGGTCCTCCTCTCCTGTCTTAATGTCAACAGGGGTAGGAACTTGAGCCAGAAGAAATGGGTGTCATTGTGTAATTACACAGTTTATGTATATATTTTAAATTTATTTTTTATTAAATGTTTTCATACAATGTTTATTTTTTTTCCCTCTCCCAACTCCTCCAAGTTCCTCCCTTTCCACCCCTTTGTTTTCTGCCTCCCTCCCGTATTTTTACTAATGTATTCTCATGTGACTGTCTTATAATAAGGGACAAAGGAAAGAAAAAATGTTGTAGCAGATAGACAATTCTGGGGACCTCTAATAACTCACTTTCTGATGCATGTACCAGCAATTAAGGCTTCTGAGATCAGTCTGCTCCTACAGTAGACATTTTACTGTGACAGGAATCAACCTGGACACTGTTAAACTGTGCACTTTAAATACATTTTTAGTAATCTCAGCAAAAGTAACCCCCAAGCCAGACCCTGCTCTGCCATCCCCTTGTAATTTCCTTACCCACAGCTAGCTGAGGTAGTGTGCATCCCAGGCGCTCAGCAATCGGAGAGAGGTCTTTCAGCTTATTTTGCTGTTTTCGCCCTTCTTCACTTACAATTCTTTCCTTCAACCACTGGTAGCACTGGGGATGACAATAACATGGGAGCGATAATGCATGAATATGATGTCAAAAGTTGTTAATTCAGTAAAGCCTCAGGGAGAGGCTGGAGAAATAGCTCATCAGTTAAGAATGTTTGCTGCTCTTTTAGAGGACCTGAGTTTGATGTCCAGCCCCCACATCGGGCAGTTCACAACCCACAACCACCTGTTATGCTAGCTCCAGGGCATCCAATGCCCCCTTCTGGCCTACAAGGGCACCTGCACTCACATGGTACACATACGCACACAGTCAAGCACATAAACCCAACTTTCTGCCGTCTGGAGATCATTGTTTTACATTATTGTTATAACTGTCCTTTCTTTTGCCTTATTCCATTCCTAATTTCATTGTTATTTTAAAATAGTTCATATACATGTATGTGCATACATGTGAAGATGTCCTTTGAGGCCATAAGAAGATGTTAAATCCTTAGGAGCTGGAGTTATAGGCAGTTGTGAGCCACCCAGCATGAATTCTGGGAACTGAACCCAGGTTCTCTGTAAGAGCAACAAGTGTTATTAATCACTGAGCCATCTCTCCAGCTCCCTAATATAATGATCTGGTAAGTATGGTAATTACAATAATAATATTATTATGGGGACTTTGTGTTGACTTCCTTTTGTGGTTGGTTTTAATGTCACACATTAGAATCAAGAGTTTAAGGACAACCCAGGAAACTACTCTTTAAACATGGGAAAAGATGGACCATGACCTGTAGCCTAGTGAGTTCACCTTCCTACAAATGAAAAGTCTTTCATCCTTTCTCACTTCCCCACTTTGCAGAAGTCTCTGCAAAGTATAAGGCCAGCACTGACCAAGCTGAGGAGAAGGAGGGACTGTAAGAACCTTCCTCTTCCTCACAGCCGTGGACCTGAAGCTTCTCAGAGGCAGCAGGAAACTCTGCAGTTGGCAGTTGGCCACAGGCACGCCTTTCACAAAAGCTGTCCATAGGCTGGCTGCTGGCTTTGTTTTATTAAATATTTTTGTAACCACACCGAGAACTTCCAAAGGAAAGGATAACCACATTATGTTCTATTGTGATTTTTGGAATAATTTTAAAGATGTGAAAAGGAGAAGGGCAAGCTGCCCCAGTTCTGTCTGCTCCTAGATATCAAAGGCTTATGGTCTGGCTCCTCACTTGGGACTTTGCTTGGGGAAATGGCCAAGGCTTTCCCAGCTTGAGCCTTGGGAAGCCTCTGATTCCTCCAGAGGAGGGGTGCCTGGAGAGACATCCCTAGAGATGACAGCCAGGGCCAGTGGTAATAGGGTGGATGGCTGCGAATAATGAGCGCATGATCAGGACCCAGGCAGCCATGGATATCGTAAATGGGAAAATATCATCAATCCTTACCTACATTTCATGATTGTTCAGGGAAGCAATATTTCTGAATGTAACCCAGACACAAAATGAGAAAGTTAACAGACAATGCCTTTGAACATTAAAAGAAAGTAGAGTTCCTGAGGTCTCTATATGTATCATGCATATTAAGAATGCTTGATTTGTTTATCAGTTTTATAGGACTACTCTATTTTTGAAAAATTATGTAATAAATTCTTTTTCTTAAGAATACAGTGTGTGTGTGTGTGTGTGTGTGCGCGTGTGTGCGCATGCGCGTGTGTGCGCATGCGCGTGTGTGCGC